AACTCAACAGCGTCGCCGCTCAACGCCCACGTTCCGTTGGTGACATGCACGCACTGGCGGCTTCATGTCACTTCATGAACTCGACAAACCCGCGTTGCTAAGCAACCGAAACAGCTGATGCGTACTCTTATCGCCCGCGTACTCTTACCCGCCCTTACCCTAGTTACCGACGGATTCAGTTCCCAGACGGGAGTATCGCATCACTGATAATCAGCCTAGGAGCTCCAAGAAGGCGCGTACTCGCTCCGATAATGCGCGGATGGTTTCCTGGTTAGTGGGCTTCCTCTCCAATCCTACACCTAAATGATCTTCGAATGTCGGTTGGTGCAGCTGGTGGCGGTGGTGAGTTGGTGTTAAGGGCAGTCACAGGCAGCTTTGCTAGCGAGCTTACGATGTTGGGTCAATGATCATATAACAATTCCCCCACTCGCGGCTTTGCGCTGAATTCAACGCATCTTCGGCTACAGACACTGGCGGATCCAAAGGGGGGCAAAATGGGCATTTGCCCCTCTCAAACGGCATAATTTTAACATTACGCCTATGGACGAGGCATGGAAAGAATCGATAAATTGTTATGGTTTGCCCCTCCCAAAACTCTAAGCTGGATCCGCCACTGGCTACAGAAATTTACGCACTTTCGTAAACTTCCATTGTTCGTTCGTTGATTAACTGAGTTTTATTGTATTTTATTATTTTGCATTTATTATTCACGATATAATAATAACGGCCGATACAGATAGCCAGTGTGTCAGTCTGTCGGCGCTCGAGACTCGGCATCCTCAACCTGCCTACACGCCCCCCCCCCCCTCCCCCGTGGAGCGACATCTCCCCATCGACCGCGCCCGTCGAATGAATAAATGAATGAAAGTCGAGCGGAGCGCGGCGGGCCCCAAAGCCGCGCCCGCCGCCCTGCTATACTCCACAGCCGTCGTCCGGAAAGCAGTCGCGCTTGTACGCCAAAAGGCAGGATTTAGCTCGGCGTTTGGTTTTCGATTTTGTCAGAATTTTCGGTCGAGTGGATTTATAAAGAGCGCTAACGGCACTCGTAAAGCGCAATGGTCTGTAAACTGAGGTTCTGGACTAGCCGGACAGGAAATATTAAGTTAGAGATGTAGAAATCCTTGTCAGTCACATCGAATTTTGATAGGCCGCGACCTTACGTGGTTTACGCACGCTGGTGTCGACCTCTTAGTTTGTAGTTAGCGCACAGTTTAGCAATATGTGATCAATGATTATTCACCTTTGGGCTTTGACAGGTTTACGACATTTACGACGAAACAGTTCATCACCTTTTGCTTTGTTATGCATGTTACATTTTTAGGAAAACCCATCAGTCAACCAGTCATCCAATCACCGCCCTCCCACCTTATCATATCAATGTCATTGGCAGCTCCATTATACCTCGATTTCCTATGCTACATAATTTTCATTACGCCATATGAAAGCCGTTACATCCGTGTACCCCGTATGAACGCAGTTACACCCGTGTACCCCATGCCCTGGCCTGTGTCCCGGCCGCCCATTCTCGTCTTGTCATTCCATGGGAGGTCGGGTGGTGGGGTATGTCCGGTCTGCGCTGCCGCTGTGGCGGCCCCGGCGCAGCTCATAAACTGGCCGGCCGGACCCGGAGCCGGACCGACGATCGGAGTTCGGTCGGCTCCGGACGCTCTGATACGTGCGAGCTGATGAAGGACTGGTGTCTGGTGTCTGTAGGGTGTGTAAAGGGATGAGAAGCACTCTTAGTCAGGTGGGACGCGGGTTGGGCGAACTTTGTTGAATGATGGAGACGAAGGCAAACGTCGATATCACAGTCAGCGATGCAGGATGTGGGTCCATGCAGTGGGTAGGAAATGAATGCGACTTGAGGTTGACAACCGACTTGAGCCATGGACATTGGACAAAGCATTGTCAGTAAAGTGACCGGAGGAGCCGGAACTGGATTGGGTCTGTGGTGCGCTCGGTCGGCTCAGCTCGTGCGCAGTTGTATGTGGGACACTACGCAGCGGAGCAGGGAGGAGAGAGGAGGGGAGCCGGCGATCGACCGGTGGCCGCCCGCCGCCCACGGAGCTCCCCTGACGCTCTGCCCGCCCCGCGCGCCGCGCCGCCGAGGGACCGGCCGAGGACGAAACAGGGGTAGGCCTCCGGCGAAACAGGGACGGACAAACAGGGACGAAACCGACGAAACAGGGACGGGGACCCCTGACGAAACAGGGACGGACCTCTGACGAATACAGGGACGGACTTCGAACGAAATAGGGACGGACCTCGGACGAAACAGGGACGAGGATTCGAGGATGATTTTAGTAAAGGAGCCTCTGAACAGGGTATATTGAACGAACCTCTGACGGTGGGCCGGACATGTGACTGTGAGACTTGACGGTGGAGCTTGTGACAGTGGGCTGACGGACCTCGGTGGTTTACGGCCCTTTGACAGTGGGACGGAAGTCCGGGTCTTCACGGCCATAGTCCTCCATCCCACGCCTGGCCGGTGAGACCCGGACACGTATCGGCGTGCCTCTCGCGGATATGATTCACCGCTCTGGAATCGGGGCTTCTATTCAAAGCGCCGGCACATACCACACCGTCCCAAATCGCTACGTTTGCTTACATCAGAACAAATCGATGACGCCATCGGCCATAGTGCGCCGCTGGCACCGGTTTGCATGACATTTCGGCGTCCGTCCAGAAAACTTTTCGTCTCGGGTGCGTCAAATTGGAGGGAAGGACGGTCCTAGATCAGGGCCGGTGTGCCGCTGACCTGGAAATTCACCGGCAGTCGGGCTGGATAACGATCCTCGGTCGGTGCATGTCGGCGCGCGGGACTGTGGCCGGTGTGGTCTGTCCAGTGTCCAGCCGTCCGACCGGCTGCCGCCTCCGCTGATATGACTCGCAGCTTTGTTCGGTGGCGAGAGTGTAGTAAGACAGCGGTAGAAGCATGTGTTGCATGCGTGGTGTGCTGTGATGTGGTATGTAAACCGATGCAGTTGGCTGCGTTACAAGTGGCTGCGATTCAATTTTTTTTATAAATTTAGTCCGAACCTTTTGATAGGAAGGATTCACAAGGACAGAGCCACCGCTAAGCGAAGCTTGTTGCGGTGACCCTGCCCTCTACCTCTACCCTATGATCGCGCAATTCCAGTTCTATGGCAGAATTTAGAGTCCAAAGTTTAACGTGCGCACATAGCCGCGCACGGCCGGTCCCCTCACTGACTTCGCCTGGCTACGGCCTGCCACCAACCGCAACCATACAGGGTTGGGCAGATAAATTGGGACAAATTTCAACTTCCTCTAAAACGACTACTTTTTGAGTGATAAAGATAATTTTTGAACATAAATATAGGCTAATGAATATTTTTCCATGTTATGCAGGTTGCGTTGTAATTTTGAGTCGGCTGGTCACAGAACGTGGGCTTAGGCAAGCCACTATCAACTTAGTCCGCGCGCACATGCATGCCAATATTCTAATTATGCTCCATCAAATGGCTAAAAGTAGTGTGTATCGAACAGACGTAAACGTTGGAGGAAGAGATGATATTGACTCATCCTTACATACCTATTGCATTGACTACGGCCGCTCCCCCGGTTTTCCAGGGGGGCTAAAGTGCAAAATTCAGTTAAATCAGAGGATCCTCGAGAAAACAGTGGCGCGAGCTTACAACGAAGGTAGCCGGGCCATGAGAAAGCGATATACCAGCACCTCAAACATGTACTATTATGCACTGATGCATATCAACCTGTTAACATAGATGTTGAAGCAGCTGTGACGTTAAAAAGATTGTTTCCTCTTGAAGGGCTTGGAGAAGCGAGCAAGCACGTGCAGGTCATTTCTGACGATGGTATCCCCATAACCGAACATATGAACAACCGCAAACACCATGTAACATCGCAACCAGCCCAGAAGACGTGATCTTAGTTAAAAAAAACATGCAGCAGACATCGGTGATGGCATTCCACTCGGTGACCTCTGACGGTCACGTGGGGCTCCCTTATTTTACGGAATCGGGAGGGGGTTCGCCATTACAGGGTAGGTACCTAACCATTATTCCGGCAGTTCGAACCAACAAGATGGAAGAAGGCAACATCCTGCATGGGGCGATGCTCTTCGAGGAGTCAGCTCCCCGGCATACAGTAAATTAAATACAAAATCTCCTGAAACGGAGGATCCCGCAAACTGTACCCAAGGGAAAATGCCCCCTTCCTCATTAAACCTCAGCCCACACAAGTTCTGGTTGCTGGGGCGTTTTTGCGGGTGAGTCTAACGAACGTCCACATGTGACTGTGGCGAGCCTCAGCAGTGCCAGTCGGCTACAATTACGAGCCATTTCCGACGGGAGATCTCGCCGCGCGTGCAGTCAGTCGCAGGCACCGACAAGGACTGATGCAGGTGGACCACGGTGACCATATTTGGTGATAAATGTGTAAAATTGGTGTGACAATATGTGATCCAAATTTGAAATGCCTATGTTTACAAATTTCTAAGCTACGGCGTTTTAAATGCAAATACGTATTTTGTCCCAATTTATCTGCCCAACCCTGTACCTGTCAGGAGGCCCATAAATGTCGAGCGCCCGTCGCGCTTCGAACCCGGACTGTTATAACCGGGAACGCGTGCTCTCACCACGCGGAGTCCAACGCTCTACCAACTGAGCTACGGGACCGGCAATTTTATGAAAACTTTGGTCTGATGTATAAAGTTTAACTCATTACGACGTTGCCGTTGTCTTCATTGGATGTGACGGCTGTCTGCGGTCTTTGAATCGTTTCCTGTATGGATTTTAGGCAGAGATTTTTCAGTTGGCTGTGTGACAGAAAAGCAGACGTAGGTACTATTTTATGAGCCGGTCGGCTGTCGTAGTGGCGAACTGCAGCCCATGATGGACGGATCATCGTCCTATTCTGTCTTACAAATAAAAGTTGTCTCACTCGCGATACAAAAAGAACATATAGTCTGCTGACTTTATCAACCGTTTTCTAACCCGTGCGTTGTGCTGTACCGTCAGAAATGGTACGAGGAGGGCCCGCCGGTGGTGTTCTGGGTCTCGGGCTTCTACTTCACGCAGGCCTTCCTGACGGCCGCCCAGCAGAACCTGGCGCGCAAAAACACCATCCCCATCGACCTGCTCACATTCGACTTCCAGGTGAGAAACTGGGAGGTTTGCTGACATGGTGAGATACTGGGAGTGTAAAGTAAACGGCTGGAAGTTGGGAGTGTGAGTGGCTCACACTAGCATCACAACATTGGTAATAGCAAGGCCCTAAATACACGGTAATAGGCTCGTGGGACTGGCCGATATCAAACAGGCTCGGTCGGAGTACCGACCGGCGGCCGTGGGCAACTTCCGGCCAAAAAAAGCATAACGAGTGACTCAAACTTTTCAGAATCTTTTTTTCAGCTAGAGCTTGCTGATCGTTTGTGAAATTGGCTAATCTTATTTCCATTTCCACGTTCCAGCTCCAGACTAGACAGACGTTACACTATCACGACGCTTTGCTGTGACAGACGCCACTGTTTTATCTCCGTCTCCGTCAGGTACTGGAGGACAAGGAGTACACGGAGCCGCCCGAAGACGGCGTCTACGTCACCGGCCTCTTCATCGACGGCGCCTGCTTTAGCCGGGAGAAGAAGGTGCTGGACGAGTCGCCGCCCAAAATACTCTACGATACACTGCCCGTGCTCTGGATGAAACCCGTCAAAAAGGTGGGACCCAATAGGGACGTCCAGCGAGCGAATTCTGCTGTCTTTGTGTTACATGAGGTCACCCCGATGTGGTGTGTCTTGAATAGTAAATTGCTTGTGTTTTGGATATGACGGATTTCGGACACGTGTTCTTTCTTCTTTTTTCACATCGGGTGTAAATTAGCTGGACATGTTGGTTGTTACGACCTGTAATGTGATGCGCCGGTGAACCGCCCCGTGATGCGAGTCGCCCTGTCACAGCTGCCTGTGATCTCCCCTGTGTTGTGACTTCTTCCTCTGAAGTAACTCTCCCCGTCCCATCACCCCAGGACGAGCTGCCGGAGCGTCGCAGCTACACGTGTCCCTGCTACAAGACCTCGGAGCGCCGCGGAACGCTCAGCACCACGGGACACAGCACCAACTTCGTACTGGCCATCGAGCTGCCGACGGACCGTCCTCAGGAGCACTGGATCCGGCGCGGCGTGGCGCTGCTCTGCCAGCTCTCCGAGTAGGGCGAGGCACGGGAAAGACGCTAGTGGGGAGGCAGTGATGGACAGGGTTACAGTGAGGTGTCAACCGCTGCAGTGGTCAAAGGCAGTGGGTGGACTTACTTGGATTGAAAGACGATTGTAATCGTGGTGTGAGGGGGAAATGGACTCGTGATGCCATGATATTTAGTAGCTCGGCGTGCTAAGGCTCGCCGAGTGACAGAACCTTTCCATGAGCCGTGAACTGCAGCGGCCTTATGTATAAGGCGAGGGCTTTACGCCCACGGTGGTTTATGTCGATCGATCCGACGGTCCGTCCAGGTACGGCCGGGAGTGAGGGATGAAAACGATGCTAGTCATGTGCGATCGCAGATAGAATGGACACATGTAGTGCGATCTCAGGAGATAGCTATACCAAAGAGCTCTAGTCAAGTTAGGAGAGGTATGGATCGTGCAGCAATATTGTATGAAATACAAATTTCCAGTTTGACAACAAAGGCGTATGATTGGAAGGAAGGGCTAGATGAGGATGATCGATCGGATGAGCCGATACCGAATCGCTGTGCTGTTGCCAGCCGGACTCTGGGTATCCAGCCGGCAGTAATAGCTTTCAGTCGCTGTTTCCTAGAGAGCCGACATACATAAACGCGCCGGCTCCTAAAGGTCGGCATAAATTCAGAGGAGACCGGTCGACGCCACTACCGGCCGTCTCACTTTTACGTTCCCGAGATAAAGGTTGTACGGCGAACGGCCGTTTGAGCCCTGATCTGGCCCCCGTTCTGCCGACCTTTCGCCGCGCCGCCCCTAAACTGGATGAGGCCGACAGTAAACCCGTGATGAGGAGCAGCCATAGACGGATGTCGACCAGAAAATCACCCGAATGGCCGCCACGGGCCCGGCAGAAAATCTCAGATGGGCACAGGTTGGACTTAGGCGGCGTGGCGGACAATGGAAGGAATGCCGCGTCCGACTGAATATCTTGCCCAATGTCACAATGAAATATGTAATGATCAGCCAGCACGGATTGACAATCATCCGCGGAATCCTGACATCTCCAACGGCGTGCTGTGAACATTGACTGTAAATATCTAGCGACTTTAAAAAGGTGCAAAGGCAATCGCAACCGTAGCAACTAGCAGGGCAGGTCCATGTTGGCGACGCAAAGTTCTTCCTTGTCGTATGACGCACAACGTTTGTCTTGCGAACGGCAAGCACATACTTTACTCTCGCAGTATCAGGCGATGGAGAGTCCGGTATGTAACAGAGCGGAGCTCCCCAAGGTAAGCTGGTAAAGCCGTCGTGCGTCTCATAGCTCTACGATCTACGCAACGCTGCATCTATTGAACTGTGAATACCAGGTAGCTATTCAGGTAAAATGTCATTTTATGTCCGATTTAGGTCGTGCTGTGTAGTTTACAATTGTTCGGAAGCTATTCTGGTGTATGTACAGGTGTTTGTTTATATATCAGTTTAAAACTGAAAGGTTTGCTAGTCTTTAACCAAAATGTTTATCCAACGTATTCATTGTGTATATCTTATGCTACTTCAGCATTAAGAGGCCATTAGAAGATTATGCAAGAAGGATGACAAATGACTGACCCTGACCAGCAAACCTTCCACATTGGCACATTACAAAGAAGAATAAAACATAACAAGGCAGACAGGGATGGAAGACTGAAAGTGGTCAAAAAGGTGTAAAAAGACCGTGTAAAAACCGTACATGGAAGGGTCGGCCGGCGACCGCCAGCTACCAGTAGATCAACCAATCACAGAACGGAAAAACTGTCCTCCAGCCGGGTCAGGGCAGCTTTCGGCAGAACAGCATAAGCTAAGGCTAAAAAAGGCGGGTTAAACGTCGTTTTATCGGATGCATTTACGCGACAGATGCGTGGCTTTAACTAATGTATTTTGCAGTCTTTGGCCGAGGCATCATTCTGCGTAGAAATGACACGAACAGTGCGAGAGACAATGCGGGGGTGAGCGCCGCCGCTCGGCCGGCGCACCAAACAAACAAGCACGAGCGCCTATGGACGACACAACACGAACAAAGGCTACAGCTAACACATACGAGACGGCGCGGGGGGCCCACCCCGCCGCATGCCGCTATGTACAGAGTATATGGGATATCTGCTAGCTGCAACCTTGTAAATATCACAGTATTGTCGCCGGTAGCCACGCGTCGAATCGTTTTGATTGCAAAGAGAAATATTCCAGCCTCCGATGTGACGCTCAGACGCGCTGAGTTAGTCGTGCGTTCTGCCAAAGTGACCGAAAAACCGTGGCCAGGTTCCGCCAAGTCAGCACTGTAACAATCATCCCGTGTTTATTTGCTCTCTGAAAGACAGCTTTGGAACTACGGCCTTAGCTAGAAATCCCTCTTTTCGTTTCCTCCCATGTCAGTTAAATAACCATAAAAACATTGCAACACATGTCTGGCGTTTCAAACAGGGGTGGCGGCGGCGGCGGGAGCGCCTCACGCCGACACGCTCTCAACCATTGTCTTCTTCATAATCTGGCCAATGTTCTCGTCCGCGGGCGGCGCGTGCTTGGCTGCGCACTCGTCCACATCGACCCCAGAGTCCTCGGAGGGCGGCGTGCCGCAGTAGGACGCGGTGCTGGCCGTGCTGGCGGCAGAGGTGACTGTCGGACCGCCGCCGCCGGCGCCGGACGCCGCCCAGCCGCCGAACTTGTCCTGCAGCAGGTCGGCCAGCGACTCGAGCTGGCCGCCGGCCGGCCGCGGCACGCTCCGCAGGTCGGTGTACTTGCGCTCGTCGCCGGCGGCGGCGCCCGTGTCGGCCGGCGCGGCCGGCTCCGGCGGGAAGGCGGCGGCGCCGGCGGCCGGCGGGCCGGCGAAGCTCGCCGCGGGCGCCGCCGCCGGGTACGAGCAGGCGGCCGGGTCGTACGGGCCGGCGGCCGCGTACACGGGCGGCGCCGGCTCGTACGAGCAGCCGGCCGCCGCCGGGTAGCTCGGGTAGCCGCACGACGGCGGGTAGCCGGCGGCCGGCGGCGCGGCGCTGGCCACCGGCGCGCCGCCGCCGCCCGGGCCCGGCCCCGAGGTCGGGTACTTGTTGAACGGGTAGCTGTAGTGCGGCGCCGGCGCCGGGTAGTGCGAGCTGGCCGTGTAGCTCTGGCAGACCGTGTACGGCTGCGGGTAGCCGGACAGCGCCGCCGTCTGGTAGGGCGGCGCCGCGCCCGGCAGCGCCCCGTAGTTCTGCAAACCACCCTCGAACGAGAAGCTCGAGTAGTGTGACTGCGTCTGCGGCGGCTGGTAGGCGGGCGGCGGCGCGGCTGCCACCGCCGCGCCGGCCGTCTCGTAGCTGCCGTCGCTGCTGCCGTCGCTGTTCTCCGAGTAGGACGAATCCTCCTGGTATGGGGCGGACAGCTCGGCGAACGCTGCGCCTCCGCCGGTGGCCGCGTAGCCGCCGTTAGGGAACTCCTGCTCGGCCATGTACTGCTGGCCGGGCGAGGCGGCGCAGCCGGCCGTCTTCTGCCAGCCGCAGCTCGCCCAGCCGGCGGCGCCCGCGCCGCCCGGGCCCGGCCCCGATGGACCGGGCGCCGGCGGTGGAGGCTGCTCGCGCATGATGGTCTCGACAAAGTGTGAGCGCACGCGGCTGGGGTTGAACTCGATGCGGCCGGAAGGGTTCTGGCAGCCGTCTCGGGTACAGCCGCAGGGGAAGTTCTGTCGGTCCACCTGCCGAGTTACACGACACAGGTCACGGGGGCCATGGGGGCACGGCATTAGCAGTAACTTGGTGCTGAGCCTGTCTTTACACAAAGCAACGAGACAAAGCTTTTGTTTTTGTTTTTGTTTTGTTGGGTTAGGCCCTTTCGGTCCAATGAGACCATTTCAGAGCCGGGAGGATGATAAGATATAGGGGGAGACATTGGTCTGGGCAGGCACCCTAGTGAGTCGCCGGGGCTGAGCCCGTCCTGAGGACAGGCCACCCAGCCCCAAGGCACTCACTGCACCCGGCTACGGGGTGCGCTCCCTCGGGAGCAGCGGTGCCGCTCCAAGGGAGCAGCCCCCATGAGATAAAGTTGCCTGTCCAGTCCGGAGGGGGGTTGCGGCGTGGAGGAGAAGGATTTCAGTATCCTGAGGATAGAAGCACGGAACGGTGAGAGACAAAGCTCCGGCTATCATCGATACCTGAGCGAATATCACGATCCACTCATCGCGTAATGAATACACACACCCAACCATGAAACCACACTGCCATCTATCTTCTCAACAAATCGCCTGCACTCCCTCCCATACTATCACTGAATCTCACAACCAAGTCCCACAATTACCCCACCCATCCATCCCTTTCTCCGCCCACCCACGCCCCCACCACCGGTCCCACACACCCACCTGGCACTTGATGCCGGCACCTGCACACTGGCAGTTGTCCGGCCGACAGACCACCTTGCACGCGCAGCCGCAGAACTCGCGCGAGGTACGGATGTCTCGACACTCGTCCTTCTCCATCGGCTCGATCTTACGCACCCCGGAGGCTCGCAGGAGTGCCCTCCGCTGCCGCGTCGACACCGGCTGAGGGGCAGAGAGACGGACGGGCGGGGTCAGAGGGCGCTGGAAAACGGGAATGTGAGCATACGGGCAAGACAACCGTGAGGACTGAGCTGAAGAGACATGTAATTGATAGACATATACCAGTGCAGTGGTCAGTAGAGTAGTGGACATACCCCGGTGGACAATGGACATTTGGCGACTTAAAGCAATCATGTAGCTGAGCATTCACGAGCTATCAGCAATCAGCATGTCCTATGAATCGCTCTATTGCTTCCACTTCACTGATATCTTTTTCCGTTTCTGTTATCGACCTATCTACTTTGAATAAACAGGCATCCCGTTCAGCTAAGCTGCAAACCAGCTTGGGGTAAAAAACAGATGACCTTGTAACAATCGGTTCGTCAAACAGGTGTTTGCGCGGAGCCCGTATCCCCGGCCGTGTCACTTCCGTCAGCTTGCGTCACATACTCCCACGCCACGTCACGCCGGCTCCAACGTCACTGACAGAGTCGTTCAGTATCAGACTCCAGAATGAGACTACCAGACATGTGACGGCGAAGGGCCTGTGGAGGAGACCCTTCGCAACTCTAGGGACACCGCTTGTCGAATCACGGAAGCGTTTCCTTTCGTCGGGATTTGCGAACCGGATAAAAAGTAGGCAGAACGACCTACAGCCGCCCGGACAGCCATATCCAGCAATGACATTTAAACAGAGCAACCGCGATGACATTTCAGGAGTGATATGCCGGCCGGCTATGAATCTTTCATTCATGGGAAAGTGGAGTTAAAAATTACGGAGGGTGGGGCGTGGTGCAGCTAACAGAGCTGTCAACGCCAACACGTTCCGACGCTCTCAGCGGCGCCCACCCTGAAGTTACGAATCACCGTCAGGTCAACAAGATAAGTGATGCAATGCGCTCCAGTTCTGTCCCACACCAGCCGAAGTGTGGGACGTGGAGCGACTTTCAGTTGACGCAAGGCCCCGGGATTTTCCACCACCGACCCGAGAGTAGTCACTTTCATCAGTCTAACCCGCCGACGAACGACCGGCGCCTTTCCGCCGCCACCTTCCGTCCTTTGTTCGACAGGCAGTCGCTCCCATCCCACGGGCCTAGCGCTCAGCCCCCTCCGGCTCTCCACACCCCTCCCCGACGGCGGCCAGTGCCCGGGGCGGCCACGCGCCGAACCCCCTCCCCATCCTGCACCGCACGTGCCCCCCCCCCCCTCCGGCGTCGACAGTGAGTCACAGCGGCCCGGCCGCAGTGGGCCAAAGTTAGCTGGCCTCGGCCGGTCCGGCGCCGGCGTACGTACGCACGCTCGGTCGGTCGGTCGGTCGGTCGACCCGAGGCAGCAGCCGACGGTAGGTCAACGAGCCGTCGGAACAGAAAAACAACGACGGTGAGTCGGAACACGTGCGTGAAAAATAAATAATGATATAGGAGACCGATATTGGTCGCAAGGTAACGAGACCCCCGGGCGCATTACTCAACGCACCCGGCACCAGTATTACTGGCAGTTATTGTCAATGGATGAATTCAACACAAAGTGTGTGTGTGAAGTGTGTTACTATATTTTTGTATTACCTTTATTTGTAAGTGCAGTCTTCCATCAGCCCTTCTGATTCAATCATAAGCGAACTGATGTAGAATCGGGCAGTATTTCATCAGCTTGCTCTGTCATCCAGTAAAGTGGAACACTGTAGCAGCTGCCAAAGCCCTCTATTATGCTGCACCTGCCCACCCGCCCCTCGCCAAAGAAATCGGCGCTATCGGAGCCACGTTCACCGTCAGCTTGTGTCGAGGAGTTCCCCTGCTCAGGTTCTTCAGCCGCGCATTGGAGTAATCAGAGACCACCGAGTGTTGCTATCGGTTATCGGCCTCTCATGTTCACTGACTCATCACGCGGAAACTATCGCATGGCGATACCAAATCAAAACAGTCAAACCAAAAAAGGTCTGTGCTCTAACTCCCCGCTCTGTGGGTCACATCTGAACAGCGACTCATCGTGAGGAAGTTGCAACTGTCTTTCTGACCATAAAATGTAAAAATCTGGTGAATCTACCACCCTTGAGAAAGGATCTGTACGCTGTACGGTAACATACCATTGAGATGTAACAAATAACACAAAGTAGCCGTAACGACCTGTATCTGACCCTCGAGAGCAGACATCCGCCTCAGCGACTCACCCTGAGGAAGAAGTAGCTGTCGACGTCGAGCTCCGAGTCGGAGAGGTCGCTGCCCTCCTCCGATCCGGCGTCACTCTCCTCACTGCTGCTGGCTGACGGCTGGAACGGCGCCAGACGCTGCAGGAGTCACAGAACATGAGTCAGAGTCGGAGACGGCTGGAACGGCGCCAGACGCTGCAGGAGTCACAGAAAATGAGTCAGAGTCAGAGTCAGAGACGGCTGGAACGGCGCCAGACGCTGCCAGTGTCACAGAAAATGAGTCAGAGTCAGAGTCACACACTGCTGGAACGATGCCAGACGCTGACGGAGTCACAAAAAATGAGTCAGAGTCAGAGTCACACACGGCTGGAACGGTGCCAAATGCCGACGGAGTCCCAGTGAAATAGCCAAAATCGGAGTCAAAGAATTGGACGGAGGTTGGGAGGAGTCAGGCACTGTCTGAGTCAGAGGCAGGCTCCGCTCATAGAGTCAAGAGTTAGACGGAAGGTGGTTGGACGGAGACTTACACTGCCTGAGTTAGATTTAGACTAGACAAGATACAAGATAGAAGACAAGATACGCCAGGCAGAAGTGAGTCAGGTCCGATCAGAGTTTACTTGAGTCACTCCAGAGTCATGAGTCAAGAGTGAACCGAAAAGATGCCGACTGAACCATGGCAGAGTCAAGGTCAGTCTGAGCCAGAAAACAGCAGACAGTAGACGGTCCAAACGAGGATCACACAATACCAGCTTTGGACTGGACATGGAGCTGAAATTGTTTTTACTAGGCTGGAAGCCACAAAAGGCGCGTTCTCAAGAGTCGCACGAGACGAAACTTGAAATTACATAACGTCACGATTACATTATATGTGCATTACATAACGTTACTTCATGACGTAATACAAAGCGCAGTGCCAACTGCCAGCAAACCCTGAGCCAAACTCCGCAAAACTCAACCACACGAGTCAGAATCAAGCCTTGTAGTGCCTGCCTGTCCCATCGCACTGCCTTGACTGCTGCCTGACCTTTGTGGTTGGCCCAATCCCAGCCCCTTCTCCCCCTCCCCCCATCGGTGACCCAGACAGCGCTGAAGCCGCCTAACATACGCCGACTGACGGGGGCGGGCAGACAGACAGACGGACCACACCCACCAGTCATGTGGCGACGGTAACCATGGCGTGGTGACGGTAACCAGGACCGTAACCACTCGACGCCCACCGGCTGTGTGTGGCGATGGTAACCGTGTAGGTGTTCGGCGCACAACACAGACAAGTGGGTTGGGCGAAGTTAGAGCTGTCCGCTAGTGTCACGGCCAGAGTGACAATCATGTAGTACGCCATACTGTCTATACTGTCTGACCGACATACAGACGGCCCAAGGGGAGCTTAGAGAGGAAGGTCATGAAGGGAGTGCTGAGGGCTGGAGAGCTGAATGTCGTACATTGAGAGGATACTTCAGGTTGAAATTCCAGAGGCCAATCATATCGCCGACCCGTACGACTCTTCGACCTCATGGGTTCCTCTATCACCACACTGCTGGTCGTCTCTTTAATTACATAACGCTTCCCTTAGCATCCCTATTCCCTACCAACAGCCCGTCACCTCTCCGCATCCCTCTCTCACCACGCCTCTCGCTCCATCTCACCGTGCCTCTCACCCTCTCACCACGCCTCTCACCATTCTCACCTGCAGCTTCCTCTGTTTGACCCTCAGCCGGGTGAGCAGCTCTCGGTGTGCCATCCGCTGTTCGTTGACATGGTCAGTCAGCGTGAAGCGCTCCACGTGGCTGTGCTCGTCGGCCATACCCAGCGTGCTGCCGCCCTGAGACGGGATGCACGTGAACCCCTGCGCGCGCGGGAAGTAGAACACGGTGACACCGTCGAACTGGATGCCCCGCCGCGGCCGCTTTGGTGCGCTGTCACCTGTGGGCAGAGGGGGAGGAGGTCAGAGACAGAGGGTCAGGGTCGTGGATGGACGTATTTCAGGGGTGCGATTGAGAGGGGAAGTCAAAGCAGGGTTGGGGAAACTGAGCAGAAATAAGAAGTTAGAACAGGGGGGATGGAGAGAAAAGAAGAACTTCAACTTGGGGCTTTAGAGAAAGGCCAACAGAGGCCGAGACATAACTCAGCAGCAGTATGAATGAGATCGCAGGAGTGATAGTCCATGTTAACGGTAATTTACTTTACAATTGGTCAGCGCCCATCAGTCACTTTTCTAGGACGAGCAGCAATTGTATGGCTTATTGTGCCGGACAGGCGAACCCACACGAGCGAAATGCCAGTCGAGTCAGACAATATGGAGGTGAAGTTTTCAATTCAATGTGGGATGCCTGACAACAGAGTCCCGTGCTCTCCGATGGGACAATAAGGTCCCGGAGAAATATGCTGCCGCGGTGCCGCGGAAAGGTCAAACAGAGTCAAAGGTCACAGGTGAGGCCGGGCCATAGGCCGTCGTTCTGTCGGGGACGCGGCGAGCGCCGGAGCCGGGGAGGAGCTCAGGGAAAGGTCGTCGAGGTCGCGACGGGTTATGACTGTCCATCACCTGACCGCGACACGAGTGTGACATTTTCCGAGCGATGTGGTGGACACAAACAGACAGGGGTTATGGTGACCTTCGGGGAAAAGTGAAGTGCAGAAAGAAAAATCTGACCTTACACCGGGAATGACACTTGAGTTAACCACTCAGGGGTGAGAGTTTGTCTTCATGGCAATGAGATCAGCCACCGACACTGCGGATTTCAAACACAATCCGCTCTCAGGGATCCAACGACCCGCATCGCCCTATGATGAATTTCACGATCGAGCCCATTTGTCAGATTTCAGTGACTGCTAAGGGTATTGGGCACTCCTTCAGTCTAACGCCACATATTATTGTTTCTGAATGACAGTCCCGCACCTCAGGGGCACCCCCGGCCAACACGGCCCCAAAACAAGCGCCGGCGGCCGCCGGAGTGCGATGATTTACGTACCGCTGCCCCGCCGGAGATTTGTGGCGAGGCTGCCGGCTTTAAATCGCGTCTCGTCGGCAAAGTTTCGGCATGCCGACGGCTTAGTCAGCCAATGGCCGGCTTCCTGAGTGACGTCACCCAATGGCCGAGATATGAGCAACAGGTCGCCGTTAAACGGGGCAGCTCTTCCGGCGCCTATTGTGACGGACTTACGAGAACAATGCACGCGTTTCTATGACATTTTACAGCTTGACCACATGCAACTTGACTTTACAACTTGACTTCACCTTTTAGGACGTGAAGCCTAAATCATATTTAGGTTATTTATCATAAATGGGTTAACGGTGCCACGCCGGCATAACTCGATTGTTTCTTGTGTACCATGCCGATACCAAACGCTCATTTTCGCGTATTAATTTCCCGAATCGCTATAACCATGAAAAGAGAGGGCAGCTGGCGACTAAACAGAAAATTCAATGACAATACCGACCCTCCGACGCTTCTTACCTGTCGTGTCGTCGCTCTTCCTCTTCAGGTTACTGCGGGTAGGTACGGCCCGCAGGTTCGGCTGTTTCCGATGCTTCCGGCCGTCATCCACCGCCGCCGCCGGGCCTGTCGATGACGCTGTGGACGACGCCGCTGATGACGCCGCTACTGATGAAGTCGATGACGATGATGAAGATTCTGCGGATGAAGCCGTGGCCGGTGCCGGCATGGCGACAGCGTCGGCAGCCGCCGCCCTCTCTGTTTCTGACAACGGATGCTCTCCGTTCACAGGTACGGTCTCTGGCTGCGGTGGCGCGGCCACCTCTGATGTGGACTCCTGACTGGTCTCAGTTGATGAGACCTCTACCTCCGACGGAGGGGAAACCTCCTCTAGCTGTGGCGACTCCACAGAAACACTCTGTGACTCCGCACAGACCTCCATCTTCTGTTCTGAAGCAGCACCACTCTGATCCTCCAGCTGCGAGTCCTGCTCCTCTGAGACATCCTCCTGTCCCTCTGTAATCTCAGTTCGCCTCTCTTCCTCTTGAATCTCTTGTTTCTCTGCTACCTCTGGTTGAGTTTCACACTCCTCTGCTGGTGAGTCTCCCTCGCCCGGAGACAGGGGTTGAGCGGACGGTTCCGCCGCGCTGGGCGGACTCTCCACCGAGGCGTCACGGTCCGTCGGCGGCACCTCTGCCGGCGGAGCAGGCTGCGGTTCGAGTTCCGCGTCGTCCGAGTCCCGCTCCTCCGATAGGGACCCGGACGAGACGGCCCTCGGAGCCGACTCTGCTGCTGCCTCCGCCGCCTCTGCTGACGAAGTGGTGTGCTCCGTCTCCGCCTTTTCCCCTGCCTTTGCTTCCATCTCCGTCTCCGCCTTTATCTCCGTTTCTTCCTTCGTCTCCTTCTCCGCCTCCGTCTTCGCTTCCGTCTCCGCCTGCGTTTCCCCGCTCGTCCTTGCCTCTGACGTCACTTCTTCGGTTGGACCCTGGACAGGATCCACCTTCAGCGGCGCAGACTCAGCGTTAACAGCAACATCAGCCTCTGTCGTGTCTGTCTCTGCGCTCTTAGCGATAGCCTTTTCCCCAGACCGTTCTACCTTGTCGGTCACGTTTGCCGCGCCCGTTTCGTTCGATGCGTCTTGCGAGTCTGTGTCGTCGTCACCCGTCGCAGTCGCCGCCGTCGCGGTCGTTACCGTCGCTGTCGCCGACGTCGAGTCGATGTGGTCGAGCAGATCTCGTGGGCGGCCGTCGGCGGGCGGGGGCGGCGGCGGGGGCGGCGTATCGACAGCGTCCACTGCGTCCAGGAGGTCCCTGGGCAGCGGCGGCGGCGGGGCGGTCGGGCCCCGCTCCTCTCCAGTCATGGCCGGCGTCTGAAACAAGACAGGGGGAGGAGGGTCAGAACATCGCACAACGCGAAAACATTGCGCCGACAACGCAACAGACTGACAGACAGGCTGGAGACAACACCGAAATCCATAGCACATGTGGTGTCAGGTCTAACATTAGCCCCACTGTACAATATGGACTTGCGTAATACTTCATTATATGGCATTCAAGCATTCGAACTAATGGAAAACAGCATGTATGGCCACTGCCGGGTACCCATTCACCTTTTGCGGAAATGTCAACATGAAAGGCAGCCCCGAGCCGGTGCGGTTCGCTATGGCGGTCGGTCGGCATCTGGGAACCCATCCCGCTCAATGGTGAGCAGTATCACCGCGTTCGTGGAACGCACCGTAATACCATTCAACCAGATTCCCAGTCTGACATAGCTGGACGCAATCCTAAGGTCACGTGACACTTTCCTGCATGCACGAGGGGGATATTTGCATAGACATTGAAGGTCGACACTGGTTCCTATATATTGAAACCCCAGGCGACATCTTCAATTCATGAAAAGTTATCCAGGACGGGATGCGCTCTCCGTTTCAATTTCATTGCAGTTTACCGACAGAGCACGGACGCCCTGTCGGCGCTTCCCGGGCGATGTCAGCGCCTCTAGCGGCAGCGCTCGGAACCGATCACTCTCTCGGCGCATGGGACGTGGGACTGCCCCCCCCCCCCGTCCCTCCCGCCCGGCCCGCTGGCCCGCCGAGGTTCGGCCACCCCCGCCCCACCGCACCGTGGCAGGACGGGGTGTCAGCTGTCCACCTGGTTGCCCGAGTACCACCATTCTGCTGTTCAACACCGCTCCTGACCAGTGACGGACAAGGAACATCGCAGCGCGCCATATATGGAAGTGGGGCGTTCACAAAGGAAGTCCTCTGAGGACAGCTCAAGGACAATGTAGAGCGAAAATCGGCCAGCCGTCTGGCTCTGTATGAAAAATAGCCAACCACTAAAAGCCCACAGGCATGTTAATGGGTCAGACAGCCAAAGTAGCCGGGATCATGACATTATAAACTCTGTCATGAGTTTGACCTGCCTCGTGACCGCCGGCCGTCCCCCTCACCTGTCACCGTCGGCTGTCACGTCTGTCACCACTCCGTCACACGTCAGGCACCACCACAGGGCACCATTCGTCACCAGACAGCACCAGTTTCCGTCCGGACCTCGGCGCGGGCACCTCTCCCTCCGGCTGCCGCCACAGGAATAGCGCGGGAGCGCCGAGTCGCGTCACCGCCGCCGAGTCGCGGGCGGCGAGAGCGTCACGGAGCTCTGCACGGCCGGCGGCGAACCCGTCCAACACCACCAGCTGCCAGCCGCCGCGCCGGGCGAGCGGCGGGGACGGTGGGGTGACGAGACACACACCCGCCAAAACGGACGGCTCGGCGACGCGCGGCGGCCCAGAGTGGCGCCATTTCCACTGGACCGAGTGAGAGGGGTGGTCCATCCGAAGTCACCGATTGATTAGATTGGTGTAGATAGCGCGTGAACGTTAGTGCAGGTTTCGGTCGCGCCTGGACACTGGTTGCGACGCCAGTTCACTATGGAATCGTGGAAAACTACCGGCACTTTTTGGCACAGCCGCTCCGGTCAGTGACGGGAAATGTCGCACCGCCAGAGTCCCGACACAGCTCCGCAAGGTCGCAGCCCACCGTACCGCGCCCATGTTTTCCATCCCCTCTCATCGGAACACCAGCTGACAGATCGCGATCAATTGAGAGCTCGTCACCACCTCTTAGGACCGTGTCCCTCACTCAGCCGGTCACATGTCATTCTCACTCGCCGAGCGCGGAGCTCGCGTGGAAGCCTCAGCGACAGCGGTCGCCTATCGGCCGAGCTGGAAAGTCAGGCGCTTTCCCCTCGGGTCGCGACCCCAGCCGACCCGCCGCGCCGGCCGGGCGGGGTGCCGCCAACTGCTCAGGTAAGTACTCTCTCCCTCCTGGCCCACCAGCACGGCTCGGCCCACTCGGAGTGCAATCAATACTGGATGGATCAGCTGTCCGCTGCTAGCAAGCCTGAGGAGATCCACAGCTAGCGACAGACGTCGACACCGTCACGGCCCGTCACGTGACGTCATGTGGCCCGTCACGTGACGTCATGAGGGTGCGGCCGGCGGACGGACGGGGACTGTGACGCCGTGACTGAAACCCGTCACCGTGACGCAGTGTGGCACACTCGGAGGGCGCCGAGGTGCCGCTGTTACGTGCCGTGTCCGTACGTGTCTCCGGCTGGGTATGTCCGGTCCGCGGCCAAGGACGGCCGCCCCCGCCCCCGCCCCAGCCGCGCCGCCGCCCGGGACCGAGACTGACACAGAGCTGAGGCCCGGCGAAGGACGTATACCGACCAGCCGCTGTAGATATACGTAGGGGAGAAATATTAGAGCTGCCAGCTGGGGAGATCCTGGACACCTTCAGCTGAGAGCGTGTGGCCGGACATCTTCCGGAACGCGTCATAGAAAAAGAAGGCTGATCCCGACACACCGTGATCTACATAAATCATGTTTCACCAAAGGAAACGTCGATGTCACGCTACCACAGGGTAAACGGGCGTCGCCTTGATAGGCTCAAGCAGGCTTTATATGACTCAGACTCACTTATCGCTTGTACCGTCCATATCACTGATAATCTTCTACCACTCATCACCTCGTACTTCTATCAGCACCAAACATCCATCCCAAACCGTCAGTTCCTGCCTTACTGGACCAATTAGCGAGCATGAGCTGACACAGCTCCTGATCCAGGCGAGCTGTAGCACCTTCAATCTTTACGTGCTTCATTCAGTCCAACCACCCACCAGCCCGACCGCCCACTAGTCGACCGTCCACCAACGCTATCAAGCCCTGCATGTGAGGTCAAATCAGACCGGACAGACTCATCCACGATACGGGGCCGCGATACGAACAATGCGATAGCCGCACACGCCCAGGACCCAAGCTGGTCGGCGACTCAGCACGACATGGCGTCACCAGTGTACAGCGTGACGTCACTGGCGCCGCACCGGATGACATCCTATGACGTCACGGCAGCACTGACTCGCTCAACTCGCAATACACAGCGCTAAAGGGATTGAGTCCGGACCCTAACCGTCCATAAGTCACGTCTCTCGTCGGGGCTGCCTGCCACGACATCGTCGTCCGAGGCTCACGTCAATGTGTCGTGACGTCATCGAGTTGTGACGTCGCGGTCGGGAGAAATACCTATCATGCGCCTGAGGCACGGCACGAAACAATAAACGAGATCTGTGCAGACGCTCACATATAATTGGGAAGACGGAATGCACGAATCATGTTGCTGCCACAGATATTGTTTCGGTACGACTAATGGGCTCCTTGACGCTTTGCTCAACCATTGCGTCAGCCAGTGGGGTGGGGTGCGACCTCCTAAAAACGTTTGTGACCGATCAGGTGACCTTTGCGCACGAGGAGCAAGAGCAACTAACGGCTGGGAAATGGCAACAGCCAGCTATCAGGATCAAAGTTGCAAGCAATGAAAACAGTCACAGGCTTCGCCACTGCACTGCCTCGCCAAGCCAGACATTGATAGGTGACTGAATTTAAAAATAAAGATGAATTTGAAGATAAATCAAAATTGTAGGCCAAATTAATCAAATCCCCCAGGATAGGTACATAAGCCAGTATGCAAAAATAGCTACCTCACCTCTGCTGACATTATCGACAGTCGAGCATTTCTTCTCGGTCTCAAGCGGTCGTTCCAAATATTCGTCGACATTGCTTTTATAAAAAAAAAACTAAAACACGGATAAAGCTGTAGATCGTCTACGGAACGTGGAAAAAGTATGGATAACACAAGCAACAGCAATTCAAGCCAGCTTTATGCAATTCGCACCGGGTGCATAGTTTAATACGAGTATTTCTAGGCAAGTTTTCACCGTAACAATTAATTAATCGGCAGGTTAATTCGTTGAACGAGTTATGCATTTTAACGAAGCATATGACACAAATTTAAGGTGTTTTTCAAAAATAAATACAACACCAATCCAAATTTTTGGCAATAAAAATGTCGCCCAAAAGCCGTAGAAATAAATATATATTACTGAACGGCTCTGGGAAAGAAAAATGGAAACCGAGGTCTTTAAAAAATTGTAGGCACGAGGCGTAGCCGAGTGCCGGAGATTTTTTGAAGACCGAGGTTTCCATTTTTCTTCCCAGAGCAAGTTCAGTAAGATATTTCCCATACGTCGTTTAATATCTATTCAGAAACTCACAATTTAATTATTGAAATCACCTATTTTAAGAGTTTTATCAAAAAATCACCAGAACTGTAGGTCATCAACCCGTGCCGGAAAACAGTGCAGGAAAGATCACGTGCAAATGTTTCCCGCACGGCTAGGATAATGCTAAAGGGATATCTCGGCGTATGGGAAAGGTGTTTGCTGCACGCGTAGTGTTGCTTGTCGAAACCCCTGCACCTCTGCAATGCGAAGAGCATCCATGCACGGAAAACGAAGTTGCTCGCCTGTTCTAGATGAAAGCGACTGACTGGGGCTGCCATCTAGATTTCATGTCAAGATAAATAGAGCATTAAATGGCCGGAGACATGGTGCAACAGAGGAAGGATGAAGTAAAATGGCTGATTGTGTAGGCCGACGATCATTCACGGTTTCGTTCATACGTTTCGCTCAGACATGCAAATAATGTTTTTGATGGTGATAGCTCGGTGATATGTGAGAGATGCATACAGCTGTTGCAGTCTGCATAGGAAGTCATACTGCATACTTAGACAAGTAGACAAGGTTAGACAAGTAACATGTGATTATGACATACAAGTACGCGATAATGACGGTCCTGGTCACTAACCCCCTGATAACCTTCTTACGAGTATATAGGTACATCTCCACTTGAAAATAGACTCGATGCCACACTGCAGCCACGGCATCTCACAAAACATCTGACCGGTGCAGCGTCCCTTCCCCTCAACCCCTCATCCGCGGCCAGCCCATGGCATCTCAAGTGCCAGGGCATCATGACACCGTCACAGCCGTCCGCTGCCAAAACGTGACGTAGTCACTCATTATCACGTCTAACAGACGTCCTGACCCCTGGACCGCCACGGCGCCGGCCGAACTGAGGCCCAGTGAGGCACGGGACGATCTCCCGTAGCGGCAGTCGCGGTCACACTGCGGCCAGTCATGCGAGCCGCAGCAGACGGCCGGGCGCCACGCCGCCGAGTGGCCCCCGGCACCGGGCCGACGGCAGTGAGCAGTGCGAACGTACCGAGCGGTTCGGCGGCACTCGAACGACAGCGACAATCACCCCGCCGACGGGCATCGACACCTTGCCGACAGCGGCCAACCGACGGCACCGGTGCGCAGGGGCGTCCAGTCGACAGTAGCTTAGCGACGGCAACGGCAATTCGATAAACGGCCGCACCGAATCGACGGCGGTACCCATAGGATGGTTCACTAGCAGCCACCAGTGAACACTGAACAGACGACCGACGACGAACGACAGCGCCCGGACGACAGTGGCATGAAACCGACTGCACGTGGAGAACAGCAGCAAGTCGCCAACGCCTCAACGGAACTCATGAGCTGGCAAATTAGCATCCTACGGCGCTTATATGACTGAGCAAACCGACCACGGCATCCAGCCACGATCATAGCATCAGCTAACGCGACGGCGCCCTTCCTGGCGACAGAACCGGGCGACCGACAGACAAGGGAGCCGAGGGAAGCAGCGGAGGAGCAGACACGGACCAGACACAAGACAGATGTGGCTGGCGGGGGATCACTGGGGAAACCGTGGCGCAGATCGGCTGCGACAAGGCTGGTGGGACGACGAGAGTGCCAAGCTGAACGAAAGACGCTGTATGCACTTCTCAGATGCCTATCTCGCATCGGAGACAAATAAGTTCGAATCACGTTATTGAAAGAAACTGCCTTTGTCGAAAAGATAAATAATAGGTCGTTCAATAAGTAACAGTCAATGGTCTGTATCCCAAAGAGTTGTAACGCTAGCGTTATGAAAAAAGTGCACGTGAATCGCCAAAAAAATTATCTACAAAGCGTATATCTTCGTTTTTCGTTTATATTTACCGTCTTGCCGTAATGAAGCATTATTTATTCGGCATTTTCAAACTGGCCAAAAAAACGGACAGCTATAAATGAGCACTTTACTGAGACAACGTGTGGTTATCGAGTTTCTTGTGAAACTTGGAGAGACTTCTCCAACCAAAATTAATGAATAATTTCTTGCTGCATACCAGGAAGAGGCTATGTTGGTATCAACTGTCAGTGAATTTTGCGCTTTAAAAATGGCGAAATAAGCATTGACGATAAGCCAGATCTGTTCGCCCACTGAGCACATCAACTCCTGTGATAGGGTGGAGCTAGTGAACAAGCCGATCAGTAGCAGCCGCCGAATACGGTTGCGTGATTTGGCTGAGCGAGTGGGCTACTCGGCTGGAACATTCGTGAATATTGTCAACCAGCTAACCATCAGATTTTTGTCTGTTTGGTCCCTTGAAGGATGAGCTTCGTGGCCACCACTTGCAGACCGATGCTGAGGTGGAGGGCGCCGTGGTCGAAGACCGAAAGCTCGTTTTTTTCGGACGGGATTTCGGCGTTAGTGTGAGCGATGGATAAAGTGTGTTCAGGCTCGTGGTGACTGGTTTGACGTATAGATCGTCAAGAGAAATGTTGAACAATAAACATGTCAAATTTTGAAGGTGCTGGGTTAAAAAATGAAAAAGTTATGACCAATTGACTGTGACTTATTGAACGACCTAATACTTATAAAAAATCATTTTATGTGTCAAAAAGGAATCCCATAATGAAGCCCAGCCTACAATTGACATCCATGGTTCGGGGAAAATACACCAAAACCAAGAGGACCGAAATCCACGACTTTACTTCCTTTGTATTCATAGCGCTGCTGCATCCGTCATAATTCGGCCCGCAGCACACCAAAACGCCAGGCGCCTCCAATAACCTCCCCGCATGACACAGAGGTCACACGCTGACTGGGCGCCAACCAGTCCACCGCTATCCTGTGTCCACGACAGCAGGAGGTGGGCTCTCGAACCCAGCCTCAGAGTGGCTTCACCATCGTCCCGATACCACCGCCTCGGCACCCCTCATCGGTCGGACCATCAGCTAGGGAGCTGCACGAGCCGCCCCTCTAACGGTGAGCCAGCCCCTCCGACGGTGAGCCTCCCCTCTAACGGTGAGCTCCGCAGACAGGGAGCCCTCAACAGGAGAGAGGGGCGCCGCCGACAGTCATTCATACGCGTCAGCGGGAGATCGATCCGCGGGGTGCCTGCTCCTCCTCATCCCGAGCAGCCATGAATGGGGAGGGCGCCGGCTGGTCGGCCAGAGACGGGGACACGATACGAGAGACCATTCGGCGTAACAGTGGTCAGTAAGGGTATCCCAGGGTACGAAACAAGTTTTTTTTTTTTGGGGGGGGGGACTCAGGTACTAATGGGTCGACCTAAGGTAGTTTGACTATCACATAACCTTGCACGTGGTACCGACGGTATTGGATGGAAATGCCTCATTTCCCGTGTTAGCAGACACTCCGGGCACAAGCCACAATAGCACAAGTCTATCGCAATTCGCATGACATTTGTATGGCTCTGCTGTTGACATTTTTTCCTTGAGGCATTTGCTTGCAACCACTGGGGTTTGCGAGCCTCTCACACCAATTTGAGAAAAAATGCACCGGAACAATGAAATAAATGGAGTGAACAGTAACATAGAACAGCTTTGACCATATGGACACAGCAGCACAGAGAAATCCGCTTCAGCAGCAAAGAGACATCCGCTCAGCAGCTTTTGCTATGCCAGGTAATCTGTAGAGTGAACGACATCTGAACAGTACATTAAGTTCCAGACAATCTGTATAGGGCACCTGAAGAGCTGTTTGAAGTGATGGCTGCCGATCCGTGTCAGAAGGATTACTACCGAGTCGCGAGGTCAAGCGCCTGGCACTCCAGTCTGGGTGTTCTGAGACAGTAGACACAGAACGGTATTCTGAGACTCTGAATGGTGACCGACCGGACAAGCTGTGTAGGTAGGCGGTATGGTTCCCCGACCTTCCCACCTAGACAATAGACATTGCACGGGTCTAATGGACTAGCCAGCTGGATGTGGGTTGTTCAACCCGTTACTACGGCTATAAATGCGATACTTCACCTATCAGACACTTGAGAGGTCAGGCGTCGGCCACCAATTTAGAATAACTTGAGCCGAAACTTTAGCGCAAGGTTCGCACTCTATTTCGGGCAGAATTGAGGTAGCCCGCTGGTCATAGTGAAGGACAAATTCAGCTAGACTGGAGCACCAAGCCAGTTGACGCGGTGAGCCGAGATATAACAACAAGTGTTGAAAAGCCAGAGGAAATAGCAAAAACAAAATGCAATCACTATTCACTAGACATACAGGTAAGGTACAATGTATATGTAAAAGGGACAAGCGATTAAGTCTGCTTCATCTGCACGGCTAAGGCCTCTCATTTCTTTTGCTTCCTTGATGCATATTTCAATCGTTTTATTATAATGATTTAAATGTCATGTCACTGCTGTTCTCAAAAAGGCATAATTGACAATATTTGCTAGGCTCTTCGTGGAAAGTCATGCCACGGTTTACTCTGTCCTCGCCAATCAAACAGATGATTTCAATATGGTGACCCATTCACTCCTAGTGGGGGATAACCTTGACTCCGCTATCGCGGCCAATTCAAACATCGACTAGCGACCTATGCAATGATTTGAAATCAGCTGTATGACGGATAGCCAGGTCACGACGAGCGGCCGAAACCATTACGTCTGTCAAATGATATCGCTGATAATCAAATGTCGCTAGTGCGATTCAGCTGGGACGAGATGACTGCTTCTTCAGTTCATCTGCTGCGCAGTGGAGCAGACTCAGTACGATTGTTAGGGATAACGTTACATAATATAATCCTAACATACGACTCTCGCTTGATGGCACTCTGAATTCTCCAACGG